AAAGTAATAACAAGTTTTGATGCAATAAATAGGGTATGATTTAAAAATAATCCTCCCTCCAAAACAGAGAAAACATCTTTCACAAACATCTACATGTCTGTCTTCTTTAGTGTTTATAGTGTATATAATGAGTTGTATTTGTAGGGGTTATTATAACACAATTCTTTAACGAAATCAACTGTCATGTTTTTTTCTCATTTCAGAAGCCGTTTCACTCGGATATACGTCACAATACTATTCTGCTATTAAACATGCACAGGATTAGGTGCATAACTATTAGGATAGTGTGTGCCCTCCCACTTTGTTACAGTTTTTGTAAACTAACTTCTGTTTTTGCTCTTCAAACCCCGAGTGGTTTCAGTTTGCTATGTTGCAGGCTCATTTATTGATAATAAACAATATTGATGATGATAATAAATACATATAATAATATTGGGCTTGTTTTGCTTATTTATCTTGTGAGAGCTGGCAACACTTTACAGAACGTTAATCCTGGATTAAACGGACCTCAATGAAGAGAACTGACTGATTGTGTGACTCAAAGTGTGCGCTGCAAAAATGATTAAATCCTTGTACTGCGCAAAAACACCAGTTAGCGGTTCGTTTTATTTTAATTAATGTCGACAGCCATCGTTTCTGCATGCTGAGATGAAAAGACACGATGTTGTCTTGTGTGTGATAGCAGGGAAGCAGTCTGGAGTTTGTCCCTCGTCTGACCTGTCGTCCTCTGCTGCTGTGGAGAGACAGCACGATCTGGAGCGTCTGATTCAGGCTTTACTCAGCCACCATCAGCTGACCAACGTCCAGACGCCGCTGTGTGAGAGGGTGAGGAACTGCCGGATGTGTCCTTCAGTGCGGGGGGTTTCAAACTTTTTGGAGCCAGGGACCCCTTACAGGGGAGAGGGTCTTCCAAGGACCCTCATTATAACAGTGTTTAAGGCTAAAGATAATGTGGGTGGGAGTAATGAACATAATATGATTGTTTTATTGGTCACTGTAAAAAATAATTTTGAGATTTTGCCATTTCAACTTATTTTTTTGTAGACAAAACGCATTTTTAATTAATTTTCCAGACAACAAGAAAGTTTAAGTTTATTGGCCCTCAGCTAAGCTGAAATTTGAATGAACTAGAAACGCATGTTGAAACAACTGCATCACACCAAAAAAAAAAAAAAATTAAGATAGTAAAAAAATTAAGGCAGCAGGGTAACAGTTTTTTTTTTTAAGTTGACTCAACAAACTGTCTGTATTTAATGTGAATTTAATAAATAAAAAAAATGTTGTAAATTGCTAATTATAATGCCTTCATTGTGAGAAAAAAAGGCAGAATTGTGAGCTAAAAGTTGCAATTACCTATTTTTTATTCAGTCGGCTTTCTTATTTTTTATTCTGTGAAAAACAGAACTGTGAGATGTAAACTCAAAATTGAGGAAAAAGTCTGAATTGTGAGATAAAAAAGTCGCAATTAATTTTTCTATTTATTTATTTGTTAATTCCGTGGCAGAAACGGGCTTCCATATTAATCCAAAAGCGGCTCGCAAATGAGAAATATAGAAGAATACCTCATTTAATCAGATATTTTATAAAATAAAAATTAATAGAGTAAAATATGAAGATATAGAAACTGATTTGATAATGATTTAACAATTCAGATTGGACATGCTTTAGTCCCGATCTGATATCACCTGACAGGATTTTCACACATTCACAATTTACACAAAATCACACGTGGGTTTTTGTGTGGGTTTCATGCTGAAACAATTCATGCTTCATACATGATGATGACGTGCACATTTTAAACCCCAAACTTGATTCACATAAGATCACATGTGGTTAATCAGTAACAGATCAGAAAACACAATGCTATTTCCATTGATTATATGGTGTGATATTAATATTGCTATGCCTTCTGTAGCTCCTGTCCTCTGCTGTGGGTTTGGCATGGCACTTGTGCAAGTCACATGACAACAGGGCTGCTCTCCCATTGGCCGGCTCCACAGGCCATACCCAGCAGCATTATGGGTACAGACCTACGGGAATATTGAGGGTGAGAGTAAGTACTGAACTCTTGCTGTATACATAATATCATGCATATTATTAGCATATTACAGTCAACTAAAACCATACAAATTTTTTACTTGAAATATTCTAAACACAGCCCGTATGAATGTGTGTTTCAGGAGCGGAGTTTCACCTGTAAGGTTTGTGGGAAGGTGTTTAAGAGGTCGTCGACTCTCTCCACACACCAGCTCATTCACTCGGACACGCGGCCGTTCCCGTGCCCCTACTGCGGAAAGAGATTCCACCAGAAATCTGACATGAAGAAACATACATTTATACACACAGGTAAAATGCTTTTTCCATTGACTTAAAATTCCATTAATAGCCTAATTAAAACGAATTATAAGGCGATTCCGGAATGCAACATGCTAAAGTCAGAATCTCTGGACCCTTATATTTCTGGACCCCATTATTTCTGTGGTTCTCAGAAGTGGAAGTCACAGTTTGGTAAACGGAAACTACACCTAATATCATTTTGGTGTTCCAGTTTTGCTCCAGTTGCCAAAACCAAAAAACACACACACACACACACACACACACACACACACACACACACACACAATAGTGTTTCTATGACTTTACACAAGTGGGAAAAAAATATTGAGACATTATGCTGGTCAGAAGAGAGAAAGATGTTAAATTTGACATTACTCACACAGCAGCGTTAAAGTAGTTTTCTGTAATTTAATGCTAATAACAGAAAGTGCATTAAGAACTGTGGAAACGTGTCATAGTATCCTGTGAGTAGAGTCCATTAGAGTTTGTGTAAACCAGTAAACCAAATGGTCTTATTCAGGTAGCTGCTATAAAAGACATCAATTTAACTAATTATAACTATATTTGTATGATAGAAAATAGCGCTTAATTCAGTTTATGCCTTATTTTAAACACCGATGTCATTCGCTTCCAGTTATTTTAGCTGTACAAAAGCAGTCCACACTCTAAAAAATGCTGGGTTAAATATAACCCAGCGCTGGGTTAAAAAGGGACAAACCCAGCAGTTGGGTTGTTTTGACCCAGCGGTTGGGTTACTACCCAGAAGGTTGGGGTAAACATTTAACCCAACCGCTGGGTCAAAACAGCCCAATTGCTGGGTTTGTCCCTATTTTACCCAGCACTGGGTTGAATTCATTATCTTCTTGTCGATCCACCAGTTCACATTTACAACTGCATGCTGTTTTTGGCTTTGGTCTAAACAAAGCGCAAAGGGCTTATTGAAAAATGCAAATTCATTCTCTGCCAGCAGGTGGCGCTTTTCGCCAGGAATATAGCCGTTTCCCCGGTAACCTTGGAATTTGTTGTCGTGATTATTCATATGATGAGGTTTGGCTCATACAAATTACAGGAGTTTTACCGGAAGCGAATGTAGCAAGCATATAAAATATGCCCAGTGGGATTTTTTTTATAGAAAGATTAAAAATACGGGAAAATATTTAAACGGGATGATAGCGGGATAGAATGGTTAAAATACGGGAGAATCCCGGGAAAATGGCAATCTTGACAGGTATGTAGGAGTTCTACTGTTGTTGTTTTTTTGCACTTTATTATTTTAGTCACTTATAGCGGCTAATAAATCAGAAGTCTCGCGCATTCACAGAAAACAACTTGTGCGTTGCATAATAAGTGTTGTGAAACTGAAAAACGAAGCACTTGATTTGCGTTTCCGTGCACTTCTGTGCTTAAAGCAGATTAGCTGGCCGTGTAGTCAGTAGTAGACAGCAAGGCATAATGCGTGTGATCGCTGTCATCTCTCAGGTGAGAAGCCTCATGTGTGCGTGGTGTGCGGTAAAGCCTTCAGCCAGAGCTCCAATCTGATCACACACAGCAGGAAACACAGCAGCTACCAGCCCTTCAGCTGCTCGCGCTGCCCGCTCAGCTTCCAGAAGAGACTGGACCTACAGCGCCACCTACAGACGCACTCGGAGAATGACAGCGGACTGTACCACGGGACCTGAGAGAGACCAGCTGCACACAAACACCTCTTTTTCTTTTTTACCCTAAAGTACTACTTTAGAATGTTTGCACCAAAAACATTTTTCTTCTGTCCTTCTAACTTGATTGTACACGTCGTTGCATTGTGAAATATATCAGAACATCCTACCCAGACAGCAACTTAGTGTTGGCCCAGATCCAGCCCATATCTGGCCCATGTGGAATAAACATGGGCCAGATGTGGGCTGAATCTGGGCCAACTCTATGTTGCTGTCTGGGTATACTGTACATTTATGGCTTAAAGACACGTTATTATTGGATGTTCATGGTTGTCATAATCACAAGGATTCACGATTTTGAGTCAGAACATCATTTCAAATGAGCAGGAGTCACCTCGATGTTCATATTACCTTTAATAATAGAAATAGCAATGCAACAGAAGTGTTAAATCTCAGCATTGTGAAAAGTAGTCTACTTGAACAGGTATTTCTGTATTCTCAAGATCTCAGCAGGGGCCAGTTGTTCAAAAGTAATCTGATTGGATTTTGGCCATCGGATTGGATCAAATCTTGAAAATGGGTTGTTCAAAATAAACCTACTTAAACAGGTATTTCTGTATTCTCAAGATCTCAGCAGGGGCCAGTTGTTCAAAAGTAATCTGATCGGATTCTGGCCATCGGATTGGATCAAATCTTGAAAATGGGTTGTTCAAAATAAAAAAAAAAATAGGATTCTGAATTCAGATTAGATCACAAAATCCAATCTTGGTTTTGATCTGGATTAAATCCTCAGTTTGTGTTGTACAAAATGTTTTAGTAAGATTGGGAAACCTTTGTTCCAAAAAAACTGGATTATTCTGATCCCAGCAGAAGGGTGGATTTCAGGAACAAAAATGTAACAAAACTTTAAAATTGGTCCAAAAAATAGACGAGATGGACCAGTCAGGAGTAGTTATATGTGTAAATGCAATGCAAAACCAGAATGCAAAGCATTGGCATGTTTTTTCCATCACCATGTCCCTTTAGGGGCTCCGTAGAGCACTAGTACTCCAGATTTGGAAATCTGAAAAAGTGTGTATCTGGATCAGGGTGATCCAATCCAATTTTGCTTTGAAAAACCGGCACAAAAATAAAATGGTTACCTGATCCTGGATAGCAAAACATAGGATTTCCAAATCCAGATCATTCTGATCCAGATTAAACTTTTTGAACAACTGGCCCCAGATTACATCTTGTTTTAAGCACAAATGACAGATAAAAGATCTTTCCCAACCCTCACTGTCGGCGTATCCGGGCTTTATTTATTTAATACTGAAGACATATTTGTCTAGGACTACAACACACCGACTTAAAAACAATTAAAGGAGTGGAAATTAAATAAATTAAAGAACATTAGAGGAGCGCAAATCTGTGATCGGTTTAGCATTTAGCAGCACAATAAAAGCAGCAAGTACAATCAGTTACAAGCACCTCAGAACAGTGGTACACAAATTGAGCTTTAAAGAAAGCAGAAATCACAAGAGACATGATAGTTTGTTCGTTTCTGTCAGGTTCCGACGGTCGTATCTTCAGTTGGCCTCGTGGAAAGCGCTGGTCAGCTCCATCAGCGCCGGCGGCGGGTTCCTCAGTCCACTGTCCTCTATAACACCGCCTCTCTGGCTCACGTCAGGCCTTCCTGACAACCAACAAGCGTGTTTTGTATTAATAAGCAGCTGTCATGTAGAAAACGCTGTTAGATTGTAGTTTTGCATGAGGTTTGTACCAGTGTGACTGTAGATGCACCACAGCGCCCCCATCAGACACAAACCCATCACAAACGCAGAGAACACGACCACGAACACAAGACCCTCGTCTGTTTCTGGAACACAAACCACAGCATAAATAAACGGGCCTAACGCTATCCAGCTTATTTTAAGAGTAGGCGCAGCAATTTGTTTAATGAATTGGAAGTCTTGCATATTTACAGGAAACCCTGATAGCACACGTACATCACATATTATTTGACATCTGCATTTTTTAGAGTGTTTGCTCATCTGCAATACGTCTACAAGACGTTTCCTATCAGATGTCAAATAGACGTTTAGAAGATGTCTTTAAGATGTTTATGATTTAGAATGAATGTAAAACTGACACCTTAAAGACATCTATCAGATGTTTGTACACAGCAGATGCTTTCCAGATGTGGAGATCTTTAACAGACGTACCTGTGATCTCTGTGTAAAAGGTGGATAATATATGAAGGGATAGTTCAGCCAAAAATGAAACTTCTCTGATTTTCCTCACCCTCAAGTTGTTCCCAACCTGTATGAGTTTCTTTCTTCTGCTAGACATAAAGATGTTTTGAAGAATGTGTACCACTAAACAGTTTCTGGCCCCCATTGACTTCAAAAGTATTTGATTTAATTTTTCCCCCCATACTGTTAAAGTCAGTGGGGAAAAAGTGCTGTTTGATTACCCACATTCTTAAAAATATCTTCTTTTATTTTAAATAGGATAAAGAAATTCATACAGGTTTGGAACAACTTGAAGGGGAGTAAATGATGACTTTTTTTGGGGGGGTTAACTATCCCTTTAATTTCCTTGCAAAGAAAATTAACCAAAAATGATTTAAGTCAAAATAATTATTTCTGAAGGAGGGGTAAAACGTACCGCTGTGTGCCGGAGACGTCTCAGAAGGCTTTTGAGCAGTTTTCCCTGATAAACACACACACACACAAACATGACAAAACACTGCAAGTGTTAGTTAAGCTTTGTGTGAATGAGAGGTGAGAATGAGGAAGTGTACAAACCAGCAGGAGCCAGAAACCCAGCAGGATACGTAACCAACACGGGCCGAGACAGATTTCTGTACTCACACTGTACCACAGAAAGAGAGACAGATTTGAGATGTTTAGCTACTAGCAGACTGATGTTTCGTAAATGATCTCATGCTGAGATCTCATTAGTGCTCGATCATTAAGAGCACAATAAGAACCCTAAAGAATTGAAGAATTCTGCTTCCAGTTCCATTCTTTTAGAATTTTTGAGAATTGACCCTATTTTCTTATTTAGTACATAATTAGGAGGACCAATTGACTCCATGATGCACGCCTACTATTTTCTAAATAAGAAAAAAAAGCCCAATTTGGTAGCATATTTTAATGTTTTTAATTTTATAATGTTATTTAGCACAACAAGACTCCTGAATGTGTTTCTTTAATAAAACACTGTCATATGAACAACTGTCAACACTGATTTATTTTTAGTGAGAAAATCCAAGAGTGAGAAGTAATTTGGTGATTCAAATCCCACAGCTTATGGGCTTTTAGACCGATTTGTGAGTCATTGAGAGAACTGGGTCATAAGAGTCTTTTGTTCATGAATCAGATTATACTGATGATGTGCAATCAGCAAAAACAATGCAACAGAAACATGCGTGGTCTATTTATTGTTGTGTATTATAGAACTACAGTTGTACCTCATATAAAGTAATGACACAAGTCTCCCTGTCATGTTTGGTAGTGCTGGGTGCTTTGAAATCTTTGCGAATCATTTGTTTTGGACCAATTGGTTCGGAGAATGTATCAAACTGCCGTAGTCGCAAGATGTTTCGAATAGTCTCTTATTGGCCTGATTAACCGAGCTCTTGACCAAATAAACAAAACAAGCCCTGCAAACTAATAAAAGAACACATATTTTACAGACAATTTATATTTAATGGTATCAGATGATTTGTTCATTGAATTTAATAATTGCACTTTCAATAAAACATTTGCAATTGGTTTGTAAAAGCTGTTTTTATGCATATTTGGCATGAGTTTTTGTTGCATTTACACAGATTTGACCAGCAGGCGTCACTAGCGTGTGGCATTATGAGCGCTTCGAAACTGAATCATTTTGCAAAGCAGTTGGTTCAGCTGATTCAATGTTTCGAACAGCTTCATTACTTGTTGAGACGCAGTTGTGTGTGTGAGAGCAGGTATCTGAGGCCCGTCTGCACAGATCCGAGCGGTGGCCCCTGAGGGCCCCTCATCTGATGCGCACAGATGCAGCCGGCAGTGCAGGAACTGGATGGGGTTATTAAAGATGGGCCGCAGGATGAAACTGAACCGCAGCGTGTTTGCGCTCTCGCATTCGCCCTCCCGTCTCTTCCGTCTGCGTTCCTCAGGTTTCCTCGCTCTCAGTCTGTCGGGTCTCTTGTCTTTGTTTCGTCTCGCTCTCTCGTCTCCGCTGCGGCTCGCTGTCTGTCTCCAGCGGGAGAGTGGTTGCGACGGTCTTCTGTCGTCTTTCCTGTCTGCCTTCTCGTCTTCATCATGTCCTGTGCTGTCTGTGGATTCCCGGGTTTCTCTGTGGCTCAGTGTGAAGGACGGGTCGGACGGGCAGGAGTCTCTGATGACAGACCAGCCGCTGTGAGCCTGTGGATCTGAGAGAGGAGAGACCAGACATGACTGGAGCTCCACAGCCTCCGCAACACCTGAACTCACTGAGATCTGACAGAGAGAAACAGAAAGAAATGACAATAATCAAATACTGTAAGATTAATTTCACACTAGACAGGAAGAAAACAATTAGAAACTAGGGCTGAACGATTTTGGAAAATAATCTAATTGTGATTTTTTTACCAATATTGCGATTGCGATTTAATATGCAATTCTTTTTAAAGCTCTTTATGTTCTGTATTATTCAACAAAGACAAGCTATAAATCATTGTATAGTATGACCAACACACTATTAGATAGATTAAACATAAATGTTCTTTTCTGTAGGCCAGGCCTATATGTTATGATGAAATTAGGTGATGCATGAATTGATATTCATATGATATGACATTTTTATTTAACAGCTACAATCACAGTATATTGACTGATTTGTTGAACTTCCAACCTTGTGAGCATGTAATAATTATGACAACATAAAGCACTGACAAATAAGCCTGGTGTAAACATTAATATGAAAGTCAGTAACAAATCACACAAACTAAAGTAGATTACAGAAATATAAAAACAAATCTGTTGCTTTACCACACTACTTTAGGTAATTCAAAGTCACTGTAATACACATGTAAACATGTGGACTGCACTAAACACTTTCTCTTAACTTTAGACCAGTGGTTCTCAAACTGTTTTGGTCGCGCCCCCCTTTAAACCTCTAAAAAAATGCTTTTTTAATTTCAAAAACCTACGGGGAAAAAAACACCTGCATCACTTGAAACATTGAAAAATAGCATAGAGAGAATAACTGTTATTATTATTATTCTCTCTGTTGTTTATTTATTTATTGTGGGTTTCATCTAAGGCATAGAACACATACAGGCTTTCCTCCTCACCAATGACATTAAACACCGTGTCTACACCGGACGCGAGCATCAAAATACAGTAGAACCCATTATAATCAGTGACGCTGTCTACACTAGATACACGGCGCGACACGACACCACAAAACGCAACGCGACACCACAAAATCCGACATTAAACTGATGCCTTGTTCTATTTATGATGTACTGACACAAAGTTAAAATGATTTGCAACGGTCACGTCAAGTGTAGAGCTGTTGCGGCACGACGTGACAACTAGTGTCCGGTATAGACTCGGTGAGTGAAGCCGAGAGCAAGATATGCCTCGTCATATTTTCTGCATTTAGCTTTCGAATGACCAGCACCTGCCTGGGTCTGTGCGACTTCATCTATGGCTTTTCTCTTCCCTTTCACAAACTGATCCATCTCCCATTCTAAGTTACGTCCTTTGGCTGTTTACCGTTTTATTTATTTTCTTTTTCTGCTGATGACCCGTGCCCCCACCCCTGCAATACTCGTGCGCCCCCCCTGGCGGGCGCGCCCCACACTTTGAGAACCACTGATCAAAGTACTGCGAGAGCTATAAGAGAGTGGACGTCTCCTTATGCTTTATCTCACCATACTTTGATGTCATACACCGATCGATCTTCAAGTCGAAAACACCTCTTTACTCTCGCGTGTCACGTGACCGAGTATAATCGCAGCCTCTGCGATTAAAAAAATCAAGTTGTTTTCATATCGCGATATTATCGCAAATGCAATTAATTGTTCAGCCCTATAGACCAATTTAGAGTAGACATCATAGTTACGTCACTTGCAGCTGCGCGCGCATAGTGGTTGCAGAAAAACACTGGGAACAAGTGGAGGTAAAT